AAAAAAAAGAAAGAATTAAACAAATCCTCCATATCTTTAATCCTACAAAGCAAGTTCCTAAAGTGAAATAAGAATTGGCCAAGATTCTAACATTTTATTATGAAAATTGTCAAGCATACAGAAAAGTTGAAATATTTTACATTGATCACCTGTATACCCACCACTGATACTACTAAAAACTTAGCATTTTACTGTATCTATTCTACCCTACATCTGTCCTTTGTCCGTCAGTACATCTTTCTTACATTTTATTTTATTATAAGGCATTTCCAAGTAAATTGCAAAAACATCAATATGCTTCCCTATAAATACTTCAGCATGCAAATCATCCTTGAATTTTAATATTTGTTTATAGTTTTTCTTTTGATGTGATATTGTGTACAGTGCATATACCTGTCTAACCAAATCTTATGTCAAAATGTAAAGGGTTTGGTTTTTATAAGCTTTAATCATTGTCTTCATTTGTGATCCAAATTAGCATTAGTATGTTATTTGCTGAAGGGACGTATAGTTCAGAACTTCCTTAAAGTCTTGATCTTCCTACTCCCACACGTTCTTTTGACTGTCTCTTTTGCATATTCTGTAGCAGAAAAAAAATAATTTTTTCTAAATGTTTTGCGGAAAGATGATGACTAAGATTGGTTTAAATCCCCAGCTATGCTTCTCTATCAGTTCTAGCTAGTAAAGCTAGTCTGTAGGTTCCAGATAGGTCATTTAACTTCCCTGAGCCACTGTTTCTTCATTTCTGTTACAGGGCTGGTAACCTCTCTATAAAGACTTAGGAGAACAGACAAGATTATTCTTTTCCTATCATGTGTGAGTTGTAAAATGGTTTCCCTGTGGGAAATGCACTGTGTGGCCTCTGATTCGCACTTCTCTCTTCGTTTCAGTTGCCGCAGGTGGACTTTTTTGATTATTCCAAGCTGGTTCCCCTGGACCAGCGCTGCTTCATCCAGGCTGCTGACCTCCTCATGGCCGACTTCAAGATGCTCAGCAGTCAGGACATCAAGTGGGCCCTGCACGAGCTCAAGGGACACTATGCAATCACCCGAAAGGTGCTCCCCTCGGTCTTCCTATTGGGATCACACCTCTTGACTACTCCTTCCCGTGATAACAGAAGAAAGAGTTCAGCTTGAAGAGATTGGGATGGTTTATGAGGGCAAAGAGCTAAGGAATTTATCAGGGTAAAGAGAAATAGACAAAGGTATTTGCTGACCAGGAAGAACTGAATGAAAAAAATAATAGATGAGAAGCAAGGAAGTTCTGGTTTGAGCATACAGCTCAGAAGGTAATACATTTTACCATGCAATGCAGATGACTGGAGTAGGGAAGTTGTGTTCCAATCCTGCTCCTTCCAGATTTACTTTCTCACTTGGCTCAGGTCACACAGCCATCCCCAAGTGGCCCAGTTTTCAGTGCCAGGAGGTAAGATCTTTAAAGAGCCCAGGGGCACAGTAGCGCCAGTGAATGATGGTTTGCATCAGAAGAGAGTGGGTAGCTACTGACAGCTCCCAGTATTTTGTCCCAGGGCCCTAAATAAGACACCTCTTAAGGGCCTCTGTTCCAAGGGTTAGATGGGTATTGGTTCCTGGTGAGTAGCACAGACACGCTTCATTCTGTGGAGTACACCGCACAGTGTCCATTTAGTAGTGGCAGTCAGCCACATGGAAGAGCAGGCACTAGCAGAGTCCTTGGCTTACTCCTCTTGGTCTCCCTTGCTACCATTAAATCGTGTTCTCCTGCTGAAGTTTTTGTAATTCCCAGGAAACTGATTTTTTTTCCCCAAAGGATAAACAAATGTGGAGTTACTTTAATGGTTAAAATACTCATTGGATCTTACCTAAAGGAAGGTGAACCCAGCTGAATGTGGCTCATGCTGAGGTTCCACCTCTAGTAGATTGCCAAGAAGATGACGGCAACTATCAGCAAACTCCTAATTGTAGGTTAATTTTAGGAAAAATTACTCTCAAGGGAATAGAGTTAGTGCTTTTTACTTCTGAATCTCATTAAGCATGCTGTATAATAGAGAATGCCGGTACCGTCATTGAAAAGTGAATGATATTTCCCAAAAAAATAATGAACACAAATCAGAAAGGGCTATTTCTATTTCATCCTCAGGCTCTGCCTGGCGTCTTTACTGCTTTAGTGGTTCCTAGGCAGCCCCAACAAAAATTCAGTCAGCCACTGGTCTGGGGTGGGTTGGTCCCTGTTGGTAACATTCCTACCCAGGAATGGGAACCCCCTGGGACCCATGGAAGGAGCTGTGCCAGCAGGTACGCACCTCCATGGCTCATCATCCCACAGCCCACTCCTTTGGGTGGGAGGTTGTAGGGTTTTGTGGCTACGTTGCAACTCTTCTGGAGACTGGACAGTCCTTAGGCAACTTAAAGATGGGGATTTATCCGTTTGCTCTCCCGAGCTTCCTCCTATTGCTTTAATCACATGATTCTTTGTGACACTATGTCTGCTTTAAGAGCTACCCCATTCTCCTTCTGTATACCTTCCTTTCCTCGTTTTTCTGGTCCTTTATATTTTTTATGGTATCTGCTTGTTTGGTGGGTAGTTTGGAAATTTATATGGGTTTTGAAATGGAGTGGGTTTGGGCTGTTTGAATTACAGAGGGGTGTTTAACAGGAAATAATGTTTGGTGGAAGCTAAAACACAATGTGCCCAGTTAAAATTTAGAACTTCTCCCTCCTTGCTGTCTGCAAATGGTACATGAGAGCTCTGTCCTTTAGAAAGTGACTGTCATGTAGACAGGGGAGTAAAAAACTTTTTTTAATTACAGAACTTTTTTTAATTACACCAATAGCACAGATTCTCTAGGCTGCCACCAAACATGATTATTTAGGGGAAGTCACGTTCACTATGGAGACTGGTGCATTTCCCTGGACTTTTTTTTTTTCACATTTTTATCATAAACATCCTGCACATAAAAGTAAAAGATTGTGTTATAACAAGCCCCTGATCGCCCGTTGCTAAGCTTTATTATCAACTCATGCTCAGTTTTGTTTCATCTCTACCCTACCCATTTTCCTCCCTCCCAGACAGTTTTGAAGCAAATTGCATACATTTCATTTTTTTATCCACAGATATTTCATTGTTTAAAAGATAAAGATAAGCTTTTTCAAAACATAATCAAAATACCATTATCATACCTTCAAAATGAACATCATCAGATAATCAAGTCAGTGTTGACATTTCTCTGCGTGAGTCAAAAATCCTTTCAACAGCTTGTTTGGTCATCAAGTTCCAAGTAAAATTTGTTTATTGCAGTTGGTTGATTGTTACTTAAATCTCTTACGATCTGTAGAGATTTGTAATCTCTCCTTCTCCACACTTTATTTTTTCTTGTAATTTATTTTCTGGAAAATGAATTGATTATCCTATAAGTTTAGACAGTTTAAGATTCCACTGACTGCACCCCCATAGTGTCATTAACTTGTCCTTCTGTCCCCTGTATTTCCTATAAATTGGTAGTTAGATGTGGAATCTTGATCAAACTCAGATTTGTTTTTTTGGTTTTTGGGGGTTGGGGTTTATCTTAAATTTTAATTCCAGTTCTGCCACTTGTTAGTCTATAACTTTGAGTATCTTAATGCTGAGCTTCAGTTTTCTTTTAGTAGATAATGGCTGTCTTACATATCTATTACCATAATTAGATAACAACTTATATAAAGCCTGAAACACATGCCTAGCACATACCAGGTTTCAGTAAATAAGTTCCCGTCCCTTCACACTTTTTTTGTGTGTGCTACAGAACAGTTTTCAAGCTTTTGTACTGTCATGATAGTCCTTAGCTTAACAGTATAAGAGCCTTCTGGTGACTCACTCTCTTAGGTTTGCAGCGCTGAATTCAAGCTGGAGAGGGCTGTGACTCAAACAGGCCTACTCTGATCTGTTCCAGTCTGCAGTGTGGACGCCCGGTGTGCAGGGATACTCTGTCATGTGTGTGTGTACACGTGTGCAGTTGGAGGTATTTTAGCTCAGCTCTTTTTATGGGAGTATCCTCTGGGTAGGCTTCTTGGAGTCCCCAGTATAGCTGCAGAATTTCTATGCCTTTTAATTTTTTTCTGATTATAAAGCTCTGTAGGGACAAAAATCCTGACTCATTGCTAAGTGTTTTTTGTTTGTTTGTTTTGAAATGGGGGTCTCACTGTGTGGCCCAGGCTGGTCTCCTGGCCTAAAGCAATCCTCCCACATCAGCCTCCTGAGCAGGTAGGATTACAGGCATGCACCACTGTGCTAAGTTGGGGGGGGTTGTTTTTTTTGAGGGGGAGGGAGGTGTTGGAGACAGTCTCTCACTCTGTAGCCCCAGCTAGAGTGCAATGGCATCATCCTAGCTCACTGTAGCGTCAAACTCCTGGGCTCGAGTGATCCTCCTGCCTCAGCCACCCAAGTAGCTGGGACTACAGGCACACGCCACCATGCCTGGCTAATTTTTCTATTTTTTGTAGAGACGGGTCTCACTATGTTACTCAGGCTGGTTTTGAACTCCTGGCCTCAAGTGATCCTCCTGCCTTGGCTACACAGTGCTAGGATTACAGGCATGAGCCACCCCACTCAGCCTGTGCTGTGTTTTGAATGAATAACTTCTAAACTGGAGGGAACAGGTAAAGCCTTAAAACTCACAGCAGGAAGTATTTCTCAAAATGAATATTTGTTTTTATCAGAGTAATTATTTCCATAATTTCAAAAATCACATAGTGCTAAAATGCTTATGTATAATTTTTTAATGGCAGGCTAAAGGCCCCTTCTTCAGGCTTTTCCTCTACTCTCCCAAGGCAACTTTCAACTCTTTTACCTATTTCTTTTATTTGCCTCCATATTTGTGAACATATGCTTATGCTTGATTCATCAGCTTTCCCAAGTACTTGTAGCTTTCCTTGTGGTAGATGGGGATCCTGAGTCTTACACACAAACTCACTCACACTCTCTTTTCAATAGACACAGTGTTAGATCCAGTTCCCCTCGGCCCCAGGAACAGAGAGACAGAGTCACCGAGGCTGCAAATGGCAAAGGAGTTTATTGGCTAGCTCGAGCTAGGGTCCAAGTCCCAGAGCACCAACGCAATGGCCTCTTCTAAGGGCTAGGACCCCGCCTTGGGGTAGAGGTTAAGCTTTTATACCTTTTTCTGTTTTACACACGACACCCAGGTTGCACATGACACGCTGGGCACCCCCTCCCCTCCTTAGTTCATTGGTTCCTTTAAAAGTGGCTGATCGTGTTGGCTCCTGATTGGCTCCTTTAAAAGTGGCTCCAAGCCTCGGGGTTTTCACGCTGGCGCCAATTGTGGTCAGCGTCATTTCGGGGAAAGGGCGGCCTCATTTCGGGAAAACCGAAACTTAGGCCTACTCCAGGAAGTTCAACCTGTCATGGAGTCACTCCTGCTCTTATTCCTGTTTCTGATTAACTACATTTAACAAACAACTAAAAGCAAGCACGGTCACAGAAGCAAATAGCGTTAGTTACAATCAAAGAGAGGACATTTTTCTAATCTCAAACAATTTGTTCCACACAAAACAAAGTACATTCTCCTACTATCAATTCCTGTCTTTCAACAGTTTCTGTTTTTAGAGTTTTCATTACTATGACTACGGAAATGTACACTGCTAGGGCAGGTAATGTAGTATGATAATGTTCTTTTCTTGATTTTTTTTTTTTTTTTTTTGGTGTTAAAGTTAGTTGCCTCAGTGTTTTCATTTGCTTTGATTTTCTGTTCTTTTGGTTTTGTTTTTGTTCTTTGACTCTCCAGCTAAATGTTTCCACACCCTGCAGCTCAGGTCAGACACAGTTGTGCTCATTGTCAGAGCTGCTAATTAATCCCTCAGTTCACACCCCCTCCCCACAGCCGCCTTCCTATGTCGGTCCTCATTATTCTCTGCCATTGCTGCATAGCTGTCATCGAGACTTGGATTCGCCATCATCTTGGGAATTCTCTTAGCCTTTCTCTGGGTTTATTCCTGTATTCTAGATCTGACAAATTTCTCTGTCTTGGTTTACGTATTCACTCTTGACTAATAGTTCCACTGGGATGAAAATTATCTCCCCTCCAGTTTTCTTGATAATTTGCCACAAATGTGACTACAGTTTTTATTCAAACAATTTGTGGAATGCCTTCCTCAGGCCACACACTAGGAATATCATAATAAACGACACAAGTCCCTTCACGAGGCCTAATCCCAGTGGCCTGGGCTGTCTTTTTAAACCTGCCTTTAACTTCGTTCTCCAAGGTGATAGTTCTCAAGGCTTCCACTCCCCAGGCCTGCTAGATTTCTCCCACCTTCCACCATGCACAAGTGACACCCATTGTAGTGTTTGCAGGTCATCCCTTAAAAGAACTTTGGCCATTGTCACAGATGTCCTAAAAATCTTAAGAGAACATTCAAGGATTTGTCATGATGGCTGGGCTTTCATTGGGTGTTAAGTCTATAAACAGCACCTTCAATTTAAACTTTCGATTAAAGTTCTTAAATTTTAGGAAGTGGTAGAGCTTGGAAAGTTATGAGATTACAAAATTCCTGATAGTCTATCAGAAAAACGACAGGATGGAAAAAAAAAATAAGCCAGGCCACGAAGAAGGCTTCAGAGGTCCCTGCTGGCCCAGGGACTGATACCTGTAGTGTCTAACATCGCCCTGAAAAATGACCTGTTTTTTGAGTGGCTATTTGACTTGCGAATGTGAACTAGCTGGGGGCAGAAAGGCCAGACAATAGAAAAGTTACTCGTGAACTTCTCTTGTTGCTAGGTTCCTCCTCCTGGGCATTTTGAGTACTTAACTCCTGGTGGGTACTGACCTAGACCTTGAGGAGCAGTAGAACAGTAGAACATTGTTACAGTTAAGTGTTAAGCGGGTGGTTCCGAGGACAAACCTAGCAGCACACAGAGAGTTGCAGAATCAAAGTTTATTCACCGGCGGGCTCAGGGGGGTCTCACCACCAAATTCTGAGCCCCATCTACCTGATTTTTTCCACTTTTATTAAGTTGGGGTGGTCCAAGGGGTGGGGTATCAGGTGGCTAATGCCCACCAAGTAATAGGTTAATTGATATATCAGGTAATAAGTTAGTATTATATTAATGCACCAGGTAATGGGTTAGTTGATGTGCCAGGTAATAGGTTTAGTGTTATGTTGATATGCCAGGTAATAGGTTAATGTGCCACGTAATAGATTAATATTATGTTGATGTGGGTCTTTCATGATGGGTCGGGATCTCAGGCGGCTGATGTGTCAAGTAATAAATGGGAGTTTTCTTGTCAACATGACAACCTAAAATGAGTGAGTGAGGCAAAGATCTCAACCAATGGAGGTTTATTAAGCCAAAGTTTCAGGTCACTCCTGGGAAAGCACAAACCACAGAAGCATCTGTCCTCTCCGAAAAGGGATTTGGAAACTCAGTATTTAAGGAGAGAGGGCATACAGAAAGAAAAAGGAGGGAGAAAGCAAGGCAGTGAGGCAAATGGTTACTTTCTGGAAATCTACATTTTACAAGATAAGTGAAGGTTTGAAGAGAAAAAGGGAGCAAAGGCAGAATCAGTTATGCAGATATCTCTGGGTGGGTGGAGGATCTTGTCTCTGTTCTGCATGTGGGAAGATGAGCTTGGAATCAAAAGTATCAGACTTTGATTTTAGGAGCTAGGCTTCATCTCAGACCTTATAGTAGGCCAGCTAGGAATATCTTTATGAGTGATCTGTGGGTGTGTATTCCATAGATGCCCAAGGTCTTTTACCTTTCCCTGGTGATCTGGCTAATGCATAATAATAATAACAACTATTCATTTGGAAGGGGCGCATGACTCAGCCTCCAGGCTGACCTTCCCTTTTGCATAAGGGGTTGCGGGGTGAGTTCTGAGATTTTTTATTTTCCTTTATAAACACAAAGTAGCTTCCTTCTAAAGAGCTTTCAATCTGCTTGGGAAAATGGAGGACAGGGGGGAGACATGATTAAAATAGTGTGATGAGTGTTCTAAAGCAGGTGAATAAAGCTGTTGAGTGCAGTAAGAAAGAAAAAAGATGTCATTTGAGCAGAGCGTTGAAGGAAAGATGTTTTCACTGGAAGAACTATACACACAAAGGCTAAGAGGCAAGAAGAATAACTGTGGTGCCTTTGGGGTGCGTAGGTCTCAGAAGGAAGGAATTCTCATTCTATAATCTGATTATATCTGGTCTTCTTAATTAGGCCTTTAGTCAGTATTAAGTGATGATTGATAATATGTTAGTAACTATTAAAGTAAGATTTTGGAGACTCCTTTAATTTATAGTCGACATTTTTTAAGATGCAATTTTCTCACAAGTACCAATTTATGTCTGTATTACATGAGACTGCCACCTGGAAATGGTGTTTAAGTGGGACCAAGGTAATGACCCTCCTAGGCACGTGGTCAGGAGCCTCTATGTGATGTGGTCAAGAACCCAGTGCACCACTACCATTCAGGAGCTATGAGTTCCCATGCTAGCCTGTTACTTGCTGGTGAATGACACCTACCCTTTAATTAACTCATTTTTAAAATGTAGCTTAAAATAGCCAGTGTACTTCCTTTCCTGAGTTTTTGCAAAATAGCAATAGTTCCAGGGTGGGTGTTTACCTTTAGGTAAAACTTGGTAGATATTAGTAGTCTTACAACTGAGTACAAAAATGTGACTTTAAGATTAGTGCCTAAGGGCCAGGTGTGGTGGCTCACGCCTATAATCCTAGCACTCTGGGAGGAGGAGGCAGGAGGATCACTCCAGGTCAGGAGTTTGAGACCAGCCTAAGCAAGAGCGAGACCCCATCTCTACTAAAAAAATTAGCCGGGCCTGGTGGCACATCCCTGTAGTCCCAGCTACTTGGGAGGCTGAGGCAGAAGCATTGCTTGAGCCCAGAAGTTTGAGGTTGCTGTGAGCTAGGCTGACACCATGGCACTCTAAGCCCAGGCAACAGAGCGAGACTGTCTCCAAAAAAAAAGATAAGTGCCTAAGATTTGTGGGGAACACCACTGGTAGTAGGAATTTCAGAAAGAAGAAATAGAAAGCAAGGAAGTGGAAATAAAAAGCCACGTTTCTGCAGCCATGGAAGGAGTTGGTAGGAGAGGTAGAAAGGTAGCAAGGCGAATTTTGCCAGCTTTTGATGGGGTTTCACTGAATATATCTGTGAGGACAAGATGATGTTGTCAAAGAAAGAAGTTTTAGTTCCAAGACTGGCCTGAACTCAAATCCTAACCTTCGCTAAGATTTGACACCTGGGGCAAGTTCTTTCTCCTCTCTAAGCCTTGCTTTCCTCTACTATAAAATAAATAATACCTGCCCCAGATGATTATTGTGAGAATTAAATGAGGTAACAGTAGAAAAATCCAAAAGGAGGGTGGGGATAGAGATAAGGTGAAAGGATGATCCTTCCTCTTCTGTAGCTCAAATGCTTTCTTTTGTTATCATTTCACCACAGGGATATATAGCCATTCATCTAGAATAAACAGATTCAGAATGTGATTATTGGCAACTTGCCTATAACACATACATATCCCCTGTAAACTATTCATTATTCCACACATGAGTATTACATGCAAAGTGTGCAAGTTACCAAAGATAACACCTTGAGCTCTCTGGTAACTTCCTTGTCCTCCAGAGGCTCCCGCTCTAGTGGAGTAATAACATGGAACAAAGAAACAAACAAATACATATGTAATTGCAACTGTAGTAAAGATTTTGAAAGAAAAATGTAGGGTCTTTGAAAGACTGAAACAGGAGGCAACCTAAGGTAGTCTAAGGAGTTCCTGGAGAGCCTCCTTGAGCAAGTGACATTTAATCACAGACCCAAGTAGGAGTTAAGTGAAAGGGGGAGTGGAAGATGTCAGTGTCATTTATGGGGATGAGGAATACTATAAAAAACTGGTTTGGAGGGAAAGCATCATGACTTCAGTCTGGGAAACATTGTTTGCCAGTGTACTGAGTAGCTCCTGGGAGACATTCAAGTGAAAGTAATTCATTGGGTGGTTGAATGAACTAAAAAGGTTGGAAACGTGGGCTGGAGATGGGATTTTGAGTCATCAGTATATGGAAGGTCACTTCACCAGCCTGGATGAGGTACCTAGAGAGAGTATCAGGTGGGAAGAGGGGACTCCCAACATGTGAAGACCAAGTAGAGGATGGCAGAGAAGAGGGAGGAAGTTGGGAGGGAGAGCAGTCCACGTTATTAAATACTGCAAGAGGGCAAGTGTGATGAGGACTAAAATGTAGATGGTAGGCGCAGCACCTCGTTGGTTAGTATGGATCAGCAGGTGGAAAGGGAGGGTAGATGCCAGACCGAGGCAGCTGGAAAGCTCATGCTCATGGGGAGTGAGGTGGTGAGAAAACACATAGACAGCTTCTTTGATAAGCCACACAGCTACAAAGGGGAAGAAGAAAGAGGGGCTGGCAGCTGATAGGGGGATGAGATCAAGGAAGTCTTTTCTTTTTCTAAGATGGCAAAGATGAGCACATTTACATGCCAAATAGGAAGAAAGAAGAGAGGAAGAAGCTGAAAGAAAAGGAACTATCACCAGTATCGTAATTTTCAGCTCCAGTGTGCTGCCGGGGGGCGGGGGGGGTGGATATAGGTGCACCGAAGAGGAGTGTGGGAAGGAAGTTAGTGGAGTCAACAGGGAGTGTTGACCAGAGAGGCAACGTGGAAGATGTGCCTACAGAGTATAACTTAGCAGCCCTTTGTCCTGTGATTTAACCTCCACTTACACGAGGACAGTTGGGCAGCTTTTATCTTCCTGAGTCACCCTTTAATCTGTCAGTAAACATTTTGGTTCCACCACAGAAACAGTGTATAAAAGAGAAAATTAAAACAGTGAAATGCTGCTTATTTATTTTGCCACCACCTGTTTCTGGTAAGCCATGCAGGAAAGATAGCTGAGACTGAGTCAGAATGAGACTTGGGAATTGCCGATGTTGCACATTTTCTGATTTTCCATTTACAGAGGTAACCTTTCCCTTTCTCAATTTTTAGGCCTTTTCTGACGCCATCAAAAAATGGCAGGAGCTATCACCAGAAACCAGTGGAAAAAGGAAGAAAAGAAAAGAAATGAATCAGTATTCTTACATCGATTTCAAATTTGAACAAGGTAATGACAAACTATGTGTTGCTGACAGTGCGTGAAGCTGAAATGCCAGCCCTTCCCTTCCCGCGCAGTCAGTGAAGGGAGTCAGGTTACAGGCTGCTTACTAAGTGCCCGGCCAGGCTAGCTCAGGGAGTGACTGATGGATACTCTCTTGACAGCACATCGAAATCTGTAGAAAGTAGCTGCAGTTGTCAGCTTCCTTTTTCCTGCTTTGGATACACTACAACAGGAAAATTTTGTGCAATGTTAAAGAATTCATGTGTAGAAAAGTGTTTGGGGACACTGTTAAGCTTGGGGAAAAACTGGTCCTGAAGTCTTGGTGAGAATTGGCTGTATCATTAGTAAAAACTACCTAGAGTAGTGATTGGTGGCTTACTGCAGAGGGTCACTTATGCACCGGAGAGACTGGCCAATAGCCATGTGTTTCTCTACAATCTTGTTGTTCTTAACTGATGGAATAACTACTGAAAGCCCTTTCAAAGAGGTTACTTCAAGTCTGAGCCCCCAAAAGGTAAACTTGTCAAGTTTTATAACAAATTTCATCTGAGTTTCTGGTGTCCAATAAAAGAGTTTACTGCAACTTTTTCTGTAGAACATGTCATAAACAGGAGTAGTCCCCTTTTCTCTTTTTTTTCTGTCACATGTGTATGCAATTGCCAAACTTGGTTTCAGGTATCACTAAATGGAAACTCCCTGAGGTAATTGTAGAGTTGGAAAGTATCTGAATTTCTGAACTCGTAAGGTTCTAGAAGAAGATCCCCGAGGCTGTGACTCCTGGGGTCCCTTAGCCATGTCTTCTGACATGACATTCTCACTGGTCTGTGGCAGAATGAAGCAGGGACAGTGTGTAGGTGGTTTTTCATTCAGCTGGATTTATCCACAGTTTAGACCAGGCATGCTCGTACATAGCCACACAGTCTTTGTTTCTGACTTCTAGTGGTGGAGAAAGTAAAATACTGCTTTGTAAGGTGGTCCACTCCCTTGCTGGTCAGCTCTATCTTTTAGAAAGTTCTTCCTTTATATCAAGCCACAATGTACCTTCCCAAAATTTCCTGCTATGGTTGTAGTTCTTGCCTCTAGAGAGACTCCTCATCTGGCTATTGCCCCTTCATCAGCCTGACTGACCTTCTCTGCATGTGCCCTTTGCTCATTTGTCAGGGTCTCTTTGAAATTCTGGGTGTCCGAGTCTATATGTCATATTCCACGTGAGGCCTGCTCCATAGAGACAACAGTGGGATTCAGATTCTGTGCTTCCATCCACACGGCCTAAGAATACCTAAGCTTTCAAAAATCAAAACACGTTCTGCTACTGGCACACGTTAAGCCTTGATCTTAGGCCGAATGCAGTGGCTCACTCCTGTAATCCCAGCACTTTGGGAGGCCAAGGTGGGAGGATTGCTCCAGCCCAGGTGTTCAAGGTTGCAATGAACTATGACCACTATGCCACTGCTAAAAAGCCTTGGTCTTTACGCCTATGTTTCTGTTACATCACATACCTCTCTCACTCTGTCTTTGCTACATCTCACATTTTTTTCCTATTAATTTCATCTTACTCATTTCAGTCCATTGTTTTAGGTACAGCCCTTTAATTTGGATACTGATTCTTTTTTTTTTTTTTTTTTTT